TCGGCCCTGTCCGGTTACTTGGCCGTCGAACACGGAGTCCATCGCCGTGCGGCATCTTCTGTTGTTTTATGTGCGACTCTGGTCGCCGCTCGGCCTCTTATACCTTTCTCTTGCCGCAAGCAGAGGAGACTTTCTATCCCAGTCCAGAGTTAGCGTGCTTTGATTAAAGCTCAGACCGTGGCTTTCTCCACCTTTCTGAAAAATAAAGTTTGTATTGTTCGGGGCAAACTACTTTGATAATAATGTCTTTCTATGTTAGTATTTAACCTGCAAAGTAAAAATGTGAGGCTAGCAGTCTTAACGTTTTGGGGTCTTTTCTCTTGCTGCTTGGAATCCATAAGTCGTACTGAAAGTTCTTGAACCCCAAAGAGCATATTGTTGATGTGTTTAGAGAGTTGTTTGTGGCACGGGAAAGATTATTTGCAAGACGAGCATTTTGTATGTGAAAGTAGGTTGTTCCACTCCATCAGAAAGTGTAAATGGGTAAGATATTCTGTAATGAGGCACAAAAGTTTGCATCTATGATGAGCGTGATGGTTTTATTTTGTCCTTTTTCTAAAGCAGGCAGTAACAGCAGCAAAGGCAAGCTAATGAGTAAATTTTGAAGTTTCTGTTAACTTTGAGTTGATGGCAGTAAAAGGGACATTACTAGCTCTTAATGGCAGGGGGGAATTTGGGGGATTAAACTCAAAACGTGAAAACTGGTCTCTTCGACTTTTGTGACATTTACAGAAATAGGATTGAATAGACTTCCTCTGGTGCAGAATTCTTTCTGGTAATGTAGTACATTAATAGATTGGGATATAGAGAATTCATATTGACAGTTTGTTAGCAGATTGCTTTTGAGGTGATGCTTAACTAATGGGATCTTAGTTTGTGAAATGGGATTTCAGTCTTGTTTAATATTTACTAATAGACTGATAAGGTTCTAGATGCTTGTCTGTTCTCTTCGATGTAACTGAAGTCTGGAAAGCAGATATGTGAAGCCTGTTGTCTCTCATATGCACTGAAATTCTTCAGTGCTTAACTAAGTCAAATGCCTCAAGATTTGGAAACCTATTTGTAGAGCATTAGAAAAATCTTTATTGCATTAGTGCACAGTATAGTGTGTAACAAAAGTAAGTAGGATGCATGGTCTGAAAACTCGGGATTCTTTTTTCAATTACTTGAAAAGTTACTGATGTTCTGCAGCAGATCCACTCTTTATTTACCCAGTGAGAAACTGGTGTTTCCCTTGAGGTTGTAGGTAATTGGTTGTTAGCCACAGGAAATTGAATAAATGTGTTAGAAAGCATCATGTAATGCCGACCTTTTGGCAGAAAAAGTAGTTGAGTTTGGTGAACTATGTAAGAATATTTGGATGGTTTGTAAGCAAATACAGTTTTCTCAGCCTATGATGAGAAGGTTAGTGTTAGTACAGTGGACTACCAGGTACCAAAAGCACAGCTGAAACTCTGCTGTATATGCTGTTCATTTACATCTCTTAAAACATATTAAAACTTGCTCACAACATGCTGCCTGTATAATTTGGTTAAGGAAGAGGTTTTTTTGTTGCCTTTGGTTTTTGTTGTTTGTTTGGTTTTTTTTTTCAGTTTTGCTGGTATTTTTTTTCAATGGCTCTGCATTTCCTGCTTGTGAACAGATTTAAATCTGAAGTCACGTGTACACATTCACTAAGTCCTGCAAGTCTTCTGCCATAATTAAGATAGAGGCGTATATGTTGGGAATACTAGAGGAAAATTGGACTGAACGTAGGACTATTTTTGTGTGTGTGCCTGTCCACTGAGTGTGCATTGTCCCTTTTAAAAAGCTTTATTTGACATTAATTTGGTTGCTACTTTGAAAGTGAATTAGGGAATATGCCTGTCTAGGCAAAACAGGCTTAAAGGGTTGAAGAACAGAGTTAAAATACATGTTGTCCTAGGAACTGTATACATTGTTTAGTCTGGTATTTTTAAAGATCTACAGTTCATATGCTTATAATAGTAGTAGACTGAATTACTTCTTATAAGTAATCAATATGAGTGAAATTCTGCATAATTCTTAACCAGTGTGTAAGGGTTTGTTTTAATAGAGTTGAAACAGCACTTTCAGTCACTCTGTGAACTTGTTAAGTGGAAGCATTCTACTCTTCTGCTGTCAAAAAGGTTTATGAGGTACATGTGGAATTGAGAACGAATTGGCCTGACTTCTCCCATTGCCAGTTATCATCTCTTAATTAAAATGTGTGGAAGTGCAGTTATAAGAAGGATTAAAAACCTTCATTGGAATTTGAACATGTGGCTAGTGAAACCCTGAGTTTAGATACAGTTTGATAATGAAAAATAAACTCACTTTGAGTACTGTTATGGTGAATGGAGTATCATCCCCTGAATTTGAAAGCACCACGCCTGCAATCATCCTGTTTAGAACTGTTGTTCTGTGTCATGCAGTAGTGAATGACCGGTGCTCTGAATGTTTTTTCTGTAGTTGTGGTCGCCATGCTTGGCTACTACTAAGGCAGTGAAGGTGCAGAAATATTCTTCAGTTTGTACTGGAATTTAAAATCTGTCTTGTGGAATGAGCTGCTGGCTCTTCCTTAGCTGAGCTCTGTGTTGCTGCCTGTTCCTGTTGTTGTCTAGAAATCTTATAGCCACATCACTGCAAAACTGAGATGACTTTATTAAATGCTATATCCCTGTGGCTTTTCTGGGGAATACTGGCTTTCAGTGGGAATTTACCCAAAAAGTAGTATTTCATATTCCCATTTGCCAGAAATGGGAGAAATGCAGATAATTGCCTACAGAAGAAATTTGCCATGCCTCATGTGGTGTAGGAAGGAGATAAACAGAGTGTATCAGTTGCACAAGTAGGAAGTCTGAGCACTTTTTCCATTACTAATAGTGTTTCTGTTGTCAAGCTACTGTCAAAGTTTATTCTAAGATTGGGTTCAAATATAAAGCAGTAAGGTAAGGATGGAATTTTGTAGGTCAAGTCCAGTTACTTAGAACTTGATGGCATGGAGAAACTTGATGTTATTCCTGATGATAAATTCTGCTGGTTGTGCAGAAACATGTGTCTAGGTTATTGAAGTGAAAATGAGAGGTCAAAATTACTCTTGAGTGAGCTGGGCTTTAAAACATAATGCATTGTTTATGCTGTAAGAAAAAGTATATGCTAATAGCAATTACTTTTGTTGTAGAGGGACTCTGAATATGTCTGGCATAGCTCTTAGCAGACTTGCACAGGAGAGAAAAGCCTGGAGAAAAGATCATCCATTTGTAAGTATGAAAGCTACTGAATATCTGACTCTGCAGTTGTTTCAGTGTTCTGGTGATGATTTTGTCATTACCCTGATAGGATTAGTAGTGCAAAAAGAAGTGACTCTGTGTAAAGATAAAATATGTCACAAAGTATTTTAAGTACATCTTGTAAAATCCTCACCATATGTCTTATTGCCTTGATTCAGGGATTTGTAGCAGTACCTACAAAAAATCCAGATGGCACGATGAATCTAATGAACTGGGAGTGTGCTATTCCAGGAAAGAAAGGGGTAAGACTTACTGTTCTCCTGATTTCTCATTTATGGTGAAAAGTAATGTAAGTTGCCTATGCATTACATTGACAATTGAGAATTTACCTTATGTATAGTTTAATAATGAAGTTTGTGTCCTGCTGCTACTTTAGAATTAAAAGTGCTGTGGACTAGGAACATTGGACAAAGTATACTGTAAGCCTGTTCAACTCCTGTCACTTAGCACCTGAAGAATACAAGTTTTCAGAGGAGTGTTTAAGAGTCTTCTGGGGGTTGTCTTCTGCTTCTTCTTGCTTCTTCTGAAATACTACTATTAATTTTTTGGGGGTTTTAATTCTTTCTTTCGGGTCTTCAGTGTGGGACTTTTTTTTGCCTTGCCTTTTCTACTGCCTTTTGCCAATTTGCCTAAATACCCTTGATGATCTTGTTTCTTAGATTCTCAGAAGAGTTTGTGTGTAGGCAAGACCTGCGATGCTGCCCTAGTTGAATGCTGGGCATAATATTGCTGTTAGAGTTACAACTTAGTTTTAGTAGTAGTGCTCTGGGCGCAGCATTAGTTAGTTCTTAAAAAAGCACAAACAAATATTCTAACACAGTCTAAGGAAAAACTCATCCCCTTCTGCCTGAACAAGACTATTCCCCATAACAGTTTATGTACCTTATGGAGATGTCACTTTTAAATACTTAGGTAAAATTTATACACCATACATAATCTTCATGGTATGGCTTTGAAGTTTTGTAAACCGCAAAGTGGAGCAGACAAGGCCTTAAAGCTTGCTTCATGTGTACCAGAAAATGTGTCACACCTGGAAAAGATCAGTTGGGCTGATGTGATTCCTGCTAATAAAAAAATTGTATTTAACAAGAAGCAGCATGACTTATTCATCACTATCAGACCAAGCAGTTGGTCTCTATTCCCTTTGTGTTTGGAGGCATCCTATACTGCAGCTGCTTTCCCTGAGATGAATAGTTGAAAACACCAGAATGCTTTCTTGTCAGCCAGATTAAATATTGAAGCGGCGTTAGTCCTGGGTGGGATACTCTGTTCACTTATTTGACAGCAAATCACTTGTTAACTGCCTAAAATTTGACTCAAAAAACATCTGCAACTAGTCCCATAATGCAATATGGTCTCGATGATACTGCTGTCATACTGTTAGCGTTAGTAGGGGTTCTGAGTGTCTGCTATCTTTCACCCATAAGGTGTGTTGCTGTATCAGAAAAATGATAAAAACTTTGCCAACTGTTCTGTTCTTCTGTGTAAATTATTAAAAGCTGTTTGCCTTCCTGTGTGACTGAAAGCAAACAAAAATTTTATTCATCAATAACCTTGTAATTTCTAAAGAGGAACTCCTCTGAGAAGGTACAGAGAATGGATTTTTCTAGTTGTTGACAACAGCAATTTAGAACAAGCTCTTTAAATACACTACAGCAAATAGAATAAAACTCATTCACTTCTGGAAGTGTATTATCTTATTAATTCCTAGCATGTTTTTCTTCCTTTTCTAGCTTGAGGCTTTGCGTAATGAATACCAATGACAATGAAGTGATTTCTCTCTCTTCATGTAGGTTTTTTGGATGTTTTGGTTTTCATTCAGCTAAAAATCATAGTTCATCTAGGAAATAATAAAAAAATTCCTTCTAAGGTGGTCTTCAAGCATGTCTGTCTGTGAGGATAAGATTTGATCAGTTTTGCTTTTAAGATGTGACACTGTCTTTACTCCAGTTGTTTTAGAAAAATCAACCCAACATTTACTTCCATTACAGTGTTTCCATAGCAAGGGGAAATTACAGAGAAGTAGCAGAGAAATAAATTTTATAGCTATTAGAATATTTTCTACATTTCTGCACTTCTTATCAGAACTCAGTTTGTCAGAAGATGGGCTTTTTTCCCTATGTGTTTTGTATATTTGAGACAGTCTTTTTCTCTATTGCTAGATGTTTTTTTTTTTCTCGTTTGTATGACACTTTTGAATAGTGCTGTCTTATTTGGTTTGCTCTCTGTCATTAGTGTCCTTCCCAGTGCTGGGTAGGGATAAAGAGCCTCTTAAATTTTCTTGTTATACAGAAAGATGGAATCTGTGAGACTACATTCTACCAAACGCAGACAGGGTTAGTTTAGACTAGTGAATCTCATTAACTCTAGCAGCTGTACAGTTCTGTCTGCATTTTTAGTTCATTTATGGTTTTATTAACCACATTCTCATAAGGCATGAGAGAAGCCATTTACATTCCCATGCTTAAGGGATGTATCCCTCTCCTGTCTTCTGAGACTTTAGTGGGGGTACAACAGCCCCTTCCTCGTTTTGCATTTATAGTGTAAAACTTCAGCAGTATCCTGTTCTTAGGTAGTGTGAAAATTTTACTTTTATATGAAATTACTGGTGATGACTCTGACTGTGTTGATGAGTTGACATCACTTAGTAGCTGAAGAAAGAAACCCTATCCTTTCTACTTCAGCTTCTTCTATAGGTAGAATAGTTTACCGTAGTCTAGACAGTGTGCTACAGTGCAGGACAGCTATTTTCTGCTGTGTAGCAGAAGAATGTCTTGTGCTTTGCCTGAGAAGCTGTATTCTTGGTAAGCTTTTTTCCACAATTTTGACTTTTCTTTTCTGTAACCAAATTCTACATTAACTCTTGATAGACACCATGGGAAGGAGGCTTATTTAAACTACGGATGCTTTTCAAGGATGACTACCCTTCTTCACCCCCAAAATGTAAGTAAAATTACCACAGGTAATTAAAAATTACAGGTTTATTAGAACAGTGTTGAATTAATCCATGAGCTTCTTACAAATGGTTATTACTTTCCTACAGTTTTGTTTGATTTTGTTTTGGTTTTTTTTTAAAGATACATTGCCTTTTCTTTTTTCCCCACCCACTTGCATTTCATCACAGAAAGTTGTGATGAAATCAGCTAAGTGCTTGATATATCTGAATTGAGAGGGGAGGGAGATTGGTTCCCTCAAAGTTTGATGAAAGCATAGCTTGAAATGCTCACTACATTATCAGCTGTCCTTAGAAACTAATATCCAGGCAAGGTTAGACTAAATCCCTATGTTCTTACTGTTAAGTTGGTCTTCTAAGCTGAGAACTCAGAAGACAGGAACTTGGAAAAAAGGGCTCTGTAACTTGAACCTTTTAATCAACTTGCTCTAAAATATGAATCTGTTCTTTTTCTGCTACCATGTATAACTTAGTAGATCTTCAGATTCCTAGTCTCCTTAAGGTTTTGAACTGAATTTTCCTTATATCATCTCAAATTTCACCTATTATAGAAAGTTGAAAGCATCTATTCCATTGCATGGTTTCTTGGTTCTTGAATTGGATACCTTCTCAGACCAATGACAGTGGTTACAAATTGCTCTTTTGACAGCAATTCATCTATCATTACATTTGCATATTTAAGCTCTGTCAGCTCCTGGCTACTCCTTTTGCTTGATACCACCTAAATACATGTAACTCAGGGGCAAACATCTCTGGTAACTGAAAACATTTCACATTATTTTCTTCAAAAATACCAGTTTTCATATCCTGACAGTGTTAAAGGAATTGTCATGCTTTATTATAAGATGTATATGTGACTGATAAAACTTCCTGCCAGTGCAGCTTCTGAAGTACCACTGAACTTCATAGGGCAGCAAGACTGTTATGTCTTGTGAATACTTGCAATGTCAGATGGATGAGAAAACTGCACTAATATGTACATGTTTCATGTATTGCAAAGGTAGTGTTCATTACTTTACTGAAGATGCTAGCTGTTGCATTTAAGTCCTGTAAAGATTAAAAGCAATGCCAGAATATAGATTGAGCGGCAGAAGGAAAGCTACACAAGCCGTCAGTTAGTCTTGTAATTTAAACTTGGTTCCTCTGGTTCCGTGCATCTTGATTATACATAGGAAAATATGAAACTGAAAAAAATGCTAAGAACTTAAGTTGTCTTTGTATGAAACTTTCATTATTTTAAAGTGAGGAGAGAAAAGATGAGTGAAGGGTAGTATCTTGCCCTTATAAAGTAGTATGTAAAGCTGAAAAGACAGAATTGTTTTTAAAAGGTCTTGATCACAAAGCTATCATGAATTACTTTGTCTGTTTCCATTCCTAAACCAAAAGATTACCAGTCAAAAAGACAATGTTGGATTGCCTGGATTGATATCACAGATGTGATGGAGTTTCTGTTTTAGGTACGGGGTGAGCCAAGAAGAAAACTGGTATTAATAGCTCCAGAAATTGGTGGGGTTTTATCTGGGGCTTTTTTGCCAGTGTTGGTGTGGGGATTTTTGGGTTTTGTTTTCCCCCAACTGATCTAACCCAACTCTCTGATCTTCCTCTTAGCACTGTATGCAAGTCATTTCCTCTTCTTTATCAGGTAAATTTGAACCACCGTTATTCCACCCAAACGTGTATCCTTCAGGCACCGTGTGTCTCTCCATCTTAGAGGAGGATAAGGACTGGCGGCCAGCAATCACAATTAAACAGGTCATTAGTTGTACTTGGGCATGTTCTTAATACTTTTGCTTTGCTTGCTTATCTGATGCAAGTATAAGATGTTCACTGTGTGTACCTAAACTGGTTTCTAAGGGTTTTTCACTGAATCCCTATTAGTAGTACCCATAATATATGCCTGTTACTTCTATTCCTTTTTCCGTAGATCTTGTTAGGCATACAAGAACTTCTAAATGAACCAAATATTCAAGACCCAGCTCAAGCAGAGGCTTACACAATTTACTGGTAAGTGTCTTTGCATATGAGACTGAAAGTTGTCATATTGCTTCCAAGTGTCTATTACTTGTAGTATAACATGTAAATGTTTTTACAAATGACATGGGTAATTTTCTTACCTTTGTTACTGTATTCTGTGGAGATGTCTAGATTGTGCTAAATTTGAACAATATAGTAGCTGCATGGCTGTTAGGCTAGTGGAGCTTTTAATAGCAAAGCAGCAGCAATAAGATGTGAAGGCTCCCTATATCAAGATTTTCATCCTGGTTCTAGACTAACACAGAGTCCGTTCCCTTAAACGCCAGATAGTAACAATGTGGTGTAATGGTATCACGAGATCAGGAGGAGACTGAATTAGGTGACAGTTCATATTTGTCAGTACAGGAGTAACTTACTTCTGCCCAGTGGTACATACCTGTAAGAACTTGTGCCTGAAGGACAAAGGAGAGCTGTGGTCAGTGTGGGAAACATGGCATCTTGGGAAAACTACATTTTCCAGAACAATAGGTGGAAAAGTACAGAATGCCTGTAGCTTTAGCAGAATGAAGTTTGCATTGATTAGGAAAGGAGATAATTTGTGAGCTAAAGAGACTTTTTGGGTTTCTTTTGTTAGTTAGTTTTTTTTTAAGGCTTAGTCTTAAAAGTTTTTCCACCATTAAAAGAGGAGATCTGTTCTGTAATCTTTAGGGCAGCAAAGCATTTTAAACAAATGCTTTTGGCACTGGTAGCTACTGAAATAATAACCAAGGTGGAATTGTGGGATTACAATTCTGGACAGGAGGAGGCCTCCAGGAGAGTGACAAGTTTGAAAAATAACATGAAATGTGACTGTACTTGCAAGCTATGTTAAATATGTTTTTTAGGGTCCTAGTGAAAAGGAAACATAGGGATGGATAGTGGGTTTTGCATTTCATTAATGGCTCCACTCAGTGTTATTTTTTTAATGTACTTACTGAAGGCTTGATGGAGTTGGGTGCATGTGGAAGACAGTAAACTGGCCACAGTTGCAGGAGCTAGGAATGATGAAGGCGGCCTCAATAATATACTTCTATACATGTATAGATAGTCTGTGTTTTATTCTTTTTAATAATCTCCCATGTGTATGTATATACAAAACCAGTCTTGGCTAGTCTTGTTTCTGTTTAAAGTGCTTCCAGGGGGAAAAAATGTCGAAGGAAGGGGATCAGGACACCAGTTGGTTCATCACAGGCCCAGTCCAGTCCGGTCTGGTCCCAGTCCCGGTCCAGTTTATTGAAGAAAGTATCAAACACTTATACAGCAAACAATAAGCTTATGAATATTCTGTAAGCCAAGCAATCTATTGGTTAAACTATAGCATTAACTCATCCTCATTCTTTAGGGGTTACATCTCTCTTTTCTCATGTCTCTTTCACTGTTTCTTATCCTACTACAGCTAGGCCCCAAGGACACGCTATCAACACAGGTGCAGGACTTGGAATTAGCCAAACTTTGGTACTTTTCCAGTCCTTAGCCAGCCAAACTCCCAACAAAAAAATACCTGTTTAGCTTAAAATATTACAAGATTTTTGTTACTTCAAGTATGTATAGTCTCCCGTTTGTGCTTTTCATGTCTCTTGGACATGCAGAGTATTTCAGATGGGTTATTATTATTCTGCAGTCTGACATTGTCTCTCGCTACTTAGTGAATGTCTGGTAGAAGTTAAAACAGAGCAGGATTGTGCACGCATCTGTAATGTTGGCATAGTTGATAAATACTGCAGAAGATGCACCATTGTACATAGAGGTCTTTTGGTCAAGTTGTTAAACTTTCAAGAATAAACATTCAGAATAAGAATACATATTCTCGGGATTCCTTTGGTACTGTCATTCAGTAACTTCAGCACTCCTAAGGTGCTAGCCTACCTCCTACTCTTCGCTGTAGGCATTCCGTGTCTCCTATGGAAGGCATTCTTCTGTGTGGATTCGATGGGTGCCAGACTTAACAGCTAGGCTATGTTCTCATGTGGCAATGCAATATAACTTTGAGGAAAAAACGTAAAGTTTGTAAATCTCTTCATGAGAAGAGACAGTCTTCAGTCTCTTTGCTAGCAATTGTTCATTGCATGTGACCACAACTGGTTTCATTTCTTCCCCCCAGTCTGTCAAGTTCTGAGGATATAATTCGCTGCCTTTTTTTCTTTCACTGCAGCAAGCCTTTGTAGCTGAAAGTAAGTTAAGTTTGCTGCAAAGCTGCTTGCAAAATCTAAGCACTCTAAACTATCTCTGGCAGAAGAGTAATGGTTACAAATTTTTGTTTAGCTCAACTCACACTTCTGATGACTAATACAGAATGGACAACTGAATGTAAATGCATGCTTTACTATGGTGCTCCTTCATTGGCACAAGAACAGAAGACAAAGAACTTGCCCTTTTACATCTTGAGTCAGAGGCTTAGTGACTGGACATAGTTCCCTCATCAGTAGTAACTATGCTACACTTAGCTGTGTTGAACTACCTTTTTTTCCCCAGCTGAAGATTAGGATAAACCTAAATCTGTGAGTCAGGGTCTGTAGATATAAAGGTTGAAATGACCACACCATTGTCATTCTCCTGTTTCCTAGGAGTGTTTCCATTTTCTCTCCAAAGCAGTAAAGATGATAATTTAAAACCATATGAAGTCGACCAGCCATTAGTGAACTATTATTTGTACTGTTAGGGTATGGAATTTGTTATTAATGACCTCAGGTCTTAATGTGAGTGGGGAGTAGAAAAATTCAGATGAACAAGGGAATGTTTGCACATGAGGTACAGTTGGTCTCGAGAAGAGCATGTGCAAACCCATTTGAATAGACTGGTACAGTACAAAGTCAGTGCAATCATTTGACAACAGGTGATGGAAGTAACTAGTTGAACAGTACCATACTTGTCCAGAAAAGTCTTTAATTTATTGTAGAGTTCCGTGGATTGCTATCAAAAAGGTTTGCCTTCAGCAATGATTTCTGTTTCTCTTCATTATGAAACTAACCCTGTAATACAGCCTCTGATTTTTCCAGCTATAATTACCCTTTCTCTTTTCAGCCAAAACAGAGTGGAATATGAAAAGAGGGTTCGAGCACAAGCCAAGAAGTTTGCACCATCATAAGCATTTGTCACGCGGCATCTTAAAAAGGAAGGGATTGGTTTGGCAAGAACTTGTTTACAAAACTTTTGCAAAATGTAATGTTGCTATGTACAATTAATATCCACATAAGGGGAGGGGGTTGTATGTGTGCCATTTTCCATATTCGCCAGTTGTATACAGTTCTAAATTTGCTGAATTGCCCCCAGTTTTTTCATACAGGGTCTCTTCCTTCAGTCTTTTGTATTTTTGATTGTTATGTAAAACTTGCTTTTATTTTAATATTGATGTCAGTATTTCAACTGCTGTAAAATTATAAACTTTTATACTTCTATAAATTCACTAGTATCTCTAGTTACTTTGCTATCTGATGCAGGCATGCTTTAAAATGTTAGAACTATATTTAGCCTCTAGCTGGCTGTATGAAAAAAAAATCATGCCCTCCACCCCCTTCCCTCCCTGAATTTGTTTTTTCTATCTTTCAGAAACTAGGTTGTTATTGCTTAAGAGCCTCTGAGATCCAAAGTTAGCCAGCATCCTTATTCTGCATCACTTTCTTTGTGTTTATATGGCATTCTGTCTGTGTTGCTGTTTAGAGTAAATAAACTGTTTATATAAAGGGCTTTGTTTCATTTATCTTCATTTAAATTATTAAAAGACAGCCATTTAAACGGCTCTGGACACAATTCAGTGCAAGTTGTTTTTAAGGCCTGTGATGCTGCATTTGCCTTTGGTTTAGATGTTGCTTTCATTTGTTTTGCCGGTCCCTGACCTGGAGCAGGTATGTGGCCCGTCCTTGGGCCATGTGTGGTAACGGCAGCAAGTCAATTCTGATCAGTTCCTCAAGCAGAGGTCAGTTGCTTACTGTGCATAATGGGATCAGCATACTGGTGTGACCATGTTAATATAAAAAAGTGAGCTTTAGACTGATACGAACAATAATAGAAGTTGTCCAAGGAATGCTGAGGATTTTCAAATGGCGCTTGTTTATTATTGCTAGAAGTAATTTTGTGCCTCTTTCCATTTATTAATGCATATAGCTTCTACGGAGAGGATGTGCTCTATGATCAAAGTTATACAGCTCTGTTTCCAGATCTGTTTTGCTTGTCTCCATTTGATTACTACAGCTTAATAATGTAAAAGCGTTCCTCCAAATTAGAATAGCTGATGTGCTCCCATGGTTCTCAGTCTTTTGTTATGTTGAAATGCTTTCTTGTCACTGTCTAAGAAACCCTTGCTAAAGCAGCACATTTAGGACAGATTTTATATGGGTGGGGAAGTTATTGAAAAAACCAAATCAAAGGGAATGTCTCCTTATAGAATTAATTTACTTGTCCTTCTCGTTTTTAAAAGGGAAATTGAGTATTTGTACCACCCAAACTGCTGCTGTTACTCCCAGCTCTAGCTCCAGTAGCCCTTAGTATTTAATCCCTCTAGTAGTAGAGGGACAAGAGGAGAAAGTCCTGTGATGTGAAGAACTTTGAGTTGTGAAGGTGAATCTACAAATTGTCCTTGGTATCTCCAATTCTACTGAATGATCACTAAAGTTTAGGTTTCAGTTGGGTGCCTGAAACTCCAAAGAGTATTCTATTTAAATATATAGAAAACAACTGCTAACAGCTCATTTTCACTATACAAACTGGCAAGCGCTGGGAAAAGTGACCTGAGATACTAGTGCTGGTATGGGTGTATCACAAAGCTTTAAGGGCCAGACAATGTTTATTTCTGACTTGGTACAGTGCCACTTTGAGTGATGAAAATGCACAGAGATAGCACTGATGAACCTGTGATGTGAAATTTCATAGTACAGTTCTGAGTATGAAGTGCCAAAAACACTTGTTGTTGCTTAGGACTGTATCTAAATAACTAAAATGAACAATTAAAGTTCCTGAAAAGACATACTGAAATGTTAAAGCAGTTCCAAGAAGTGTTTTTTCCTTTCAGGCTTAGCTCAGTTTATTCTAAATAGATGAAGTAGTTGAAATACATATGGCAGATTCAAGCCTGCAAAAAGTCAAGAGACTCCCTATGTGGCAGGTACAATGAACAGGCCAATAGCATGTTCTCCAATTGAAATACAGACCAGAAGCTAAGAAAGTTTACCTAATATACTGTTAGTTTAATAATGAAGTTTATAATAAACCACTTTCCAGACACATCAATTAGAATACTGGGTTATTTTTTCACTTGTAACTAAACTTCAAACTCCTTACAAAATAATTTAATGTTCCATACTTACCTAAAAATTTAATAACCTAGAGCCTAAAAACACCTCGTGCCTAAAAATATCTACAAACCTGCATAGAGACTGAGGTTTGCTAAGCATCAAGTTACAGGTCAACAAGACACACTCAAGTAGTCGCAAAAAAATTTCTTTATACAAGATGTTACAACTCTTTGGGATTACTGGGGATTTTTATGTCTTCTGGATTGCTCTCATCAATGCTTTCGCTGCTCTCAGTGGCATCATCTGAATTGCTTACACTGTCCTCCTCAGAGTCTTCTTTCCTTGGTGCTAGACTGGAAACATTTTTCAAGATTATAAAAGCAAAATAACATAGTAAGTAAAACTATGGTTTAAATTAAATTTCATTACCCTGAGGAATTGACTGGCCTGTTGGGATTAGAAACTTCTTTTTCTAGGTCAACATCAAATGGATCTGGAAAAAGAAGATGAAAAAAGCATTTTCTTAATGGTCTTCCTTCATTTTCATAGATTAATGGCAGAGAGGGGAAGGCACAGAAAGGCTAGTTCACGTCTCTCTTAAGTTTACCATAGTTGTTAGAGGAGAAACTGGGGGAGATGAGAAAATAACCCAAGTCCTGCCTGCCCAGTTTAGGCTTTTCACTGTTTTCCCTCACCCCCTGCAAGGGGTCCTGTAGATCTTTAGAGGTGGTCAGATTGTATAAGTAGGTTTCTGAGGCTTTGGGTAAGAAAACACTGATTAAGTTCTAAAATGGCTGTCTAGTTAGCTGATGTCCACTGAGAAGTGAATTACAGCTGTCCAGATTTAGCTCTTGCTGAGTTAAGGGTAGGGCTGGGCTTACTTTGGCTGAAGTAGCTGGGAAGAACTGTCAGAAAAGTCAAACAAGTCTTGGTTCTGCAGTTCCAGAAAATACATAGGATTGTAGGTGGAAGTGTGCTTTAAGTGGCATAGCCATATTGCCTCTTAAGAGCTGTCTTCAGTTTAGTGTACCTAGTTAGGCTTCCACCAGGAGGATGGTTTAATTCAGTATTATGGCAACGAGATCAAAGTTTAGAGCAAGTGAATGCTATTGACCATCTTCTTGCAGTATGAGCCATACCTATTTTAAGGGCTTAATCACCATGAAAGGAAAATGTTAATTAGGATAATCCCTTTTCATATGTTCTTGATTATTTGCCTTTCTTTGTGCTGTCTTGAATGAGACCAAGCACTCAGCTGAATATAGCCTGAAATACTGGGATTGCAGTAAATTACTGGAAGACTTTGTGAATAAACTACTTGTACTTATTATAAATTATTTTAATTCTCTTAAAAGATCTGATTTTAAACATCTTGATTGAGAACTACATAAATATGTCTATTAAAAGTCCTTCTTAGATTTATGTGTAACTAACTTGGTGTCTGACTGTATGCGTATATTTCTTTCATAGTTCCTTCTCAATTACTAGTCTTTTTACTCATACTCTGTTTTTAACATCTGTATAGAAAACAAGGAAGCATTGTATTTTCTTTTTGCTCCTAAGTTTCCATTTTGGTTAGCTGAATAAGGGTAACTGCTTTACGGTTCAGCTGTGAATACTCCATGCATTAAATTGCTTTAGTCATTTCCACCCTACTTGACTTGAAAAAAATGGGCTAACAGGTACACTTAGCACAGTATAAAGATAGAACAACACATATCAGCAAAGCACTTATCTTCCACCTTGCTAATATTTTTATGGGATTTAAGGAAAATACTGTAAAGAAAACTAGTTAGAAAAAGGGCACGTGTAATGTTTCTCTGTTTGTCTCTTACCTACTTCTTCGTCTTTTTCTTCTTGGACACAGGCTAAGAAGTCCTTCTCAATGATTAGCATATCGTCCTGGCAATGACAGGCTGCATATTTTTCCAAGAGATTTTCGTTCAGGTCAAGAAATGCCTTACCCCATTTAAATTTCCTTAGAAGAATGGTGGCTAGATCTGGGAATCCTAAAACAGAAAATAATTTATTAGTTTTCTTCTTTACTGTGAGATTTCACTTGACTTACATGTTTCTAGTTAAGGATGTGCATTCATGTCAATACAATAGAAAGCTGTTTGCCAGTGTTTCTTTCAGTGTTCGGGGATTAAAACTTCTGGAAAAACTACAAATATTTCCAAATTTCAGTTTAACTTGAAACATAGAACTGAATCCAAGAGCCGTTCATAGCCTTCTAGCAAGTGCTACATAAAAGTATTTTGGACAGGTAATGAATGATTCAAGCAGTATCTCCCTCAGCCCTTCAGTACAAGATCAATTGTACCATACAGTATTTTCAGAAGATAAGATTTGTCTGCAGTATGGTAGAGCATTTCTTTTATCAAAGTTCCGTGATGAGTCTGAAAAACATCACAAGAGAGGGCAATTTATTTTGTTCTTACCCAGACTTCGCCCTATTAACAGCCAGCTGCTACCTCTCATTAAGGCAATCTTGCCTAAGCATTTGTGTTCTTTCTTTTTTTTTTTAACGGCTTTTCTAACATTATGCGCTATCCAGATAAAATGAGGATTATCAGTTTGTGTCCCATTCAGTAGCTGACATGAATACCACACGGATACCTCAGTGCAACTGGTAACACGCATCTGGAGGAAAGCTAGATAATCTGATCCAAAAGTCAAGAAAGTGACGACCCATATGACAACATTACAGTTGGTTTTGTTGCAGACCATGTCTTCTGTTTGATTAAGAATGTAGCAATTGCTAGCACCATACTTGCCATCAGACAATTGAGCCTACCAACAATGCAAAATGCTGCAGCAAAAGCTTCCACACAGGACAGCTTGCATGGCCGACCGTAGTTTACAGGATTTGCAGCCACCAAGTAAGGCAGCAACCGCGGATGACTCCCCCTCATTCTGTTAAAGGGAGTTTCTTCTAATTTGGCCCATGAGCAATCTATGACTGCAATTCCACTCTGAGCAATGACACGCCTGAAAAAAAGAAATGTCACTGTATTTGAAAAATTGTTACCATTATACTGATGAAGTGAGAATTCCAATTGCTGCTTTATATTGGCAACAAACTTGCATACATCCCCTGGTTTTTTTAATCAAACCCCATACGCTTTACAATAACCTCTAACAGACTCAATGAGAAAGAATAGTAGCATGGTTTTCCTCCAAACATACAAATTGCAAAAAAAGGTTTACCCATGTGTTTCAAAATGAAATGTGATTAATTCTAGGTTTAAAAATGTGACAGAAGTGTGATGAATAATAATGTTCACACCTTCAACTACACTTTCAACTACAGTTCTGATTAAGGTTCTCTGCTAGCTTCTCTCTGCTTCTAAAGACAAATCTTTTCTCTGATACGTGTATCTTTATAAAAATTCTGCTGGCACATTGTGTTAACACATTGTGTTGTCTACCGAAGAACTTAAATATAGCATGATAAAAGACACAGCAGGTACACGGCTGTGCTCTGACGAAATTAACCTACAAGACGTGCACTTGGATTTTTCATTGGGAACTACAGATGCTTTTCTCATCTGATACCAGCTGTGTAAAACTATTAAGCTGATTTGATAAAACGACTCTGTTTCTCATGTTCAGGCATCAGTGTAACGTAATAAGAAGGTCAATTTTATTCCATAAGAGTTTCAGCCATGTATCACTGGTTAAAATGCTCTCTTTAATACAACATCAGTACGGTATTCGAACGAAGTGCTCTCCCTCACAGTCTGCAGCTCCCCCACTTCCCTCGCCGCCGGGTTTTGCCAACAGGCACCGAGGCCCCACCTGTCAGCCGGAGAGACGTACTCCGTAGCCAGCGGACTCAGGACGACGCCCGGGAATCTCTGGCGGAGGCGCAGGGTTCGCAGCAACCCCTTCCGGGCGAGTTTTCTCCCGGTGCATTTCTTGGGATCGCAGTGTCCGAGCTCCCACATGGCAAGGGGGCAGGGGAATTTGGCCTCCCGGGCGCCCCCATCCGCGGCCCTCTCGCGGTCCAGGCAAGCTGAAAACAGCAGGTGTATAT